CCGCTGACATCGTTGTCTCTGGAGAGCTTCAGGTTTTTATAGTAACCACAGTAATGATTTTCAGATTATAGAGTAATAAAATATTTTAATTTGTATGGAACATTAAGGTGGGCACTGTATGATTCTTATGACATTTAAATAGTGCTTAAAAAAAAAATAAAAAAAAAAAAAGAGGGAGAAGGTTCTGAGTGCATTTGTTTCCCAAACAGGAGCACTGAAATAGAAAGTCAAAATCCCACATGCTGGTACCTAGATCAGCTCTGACACCTCCCCTCCGTGGCTGTTTCACTTGAATGCCTGCCAAGTTAAATAAGCAAACACGGGATTGTGGCGTCCTAGTTGCAAACCCGTTTTTGGCAAGTGTGCCTTTCTCCTTAGTCACTGTAATGGTTTGAAACCTGCTGCCCCTGGTGGGTGGAGATCTGAAACCCTAAACCAGGTACAAGCCTGAATGAAAGGGGCATACACCTGTCCTATTCCCACTCCCCTTTTTCCTGTCTTTGGGATTTCCTGCCAAGGTCTATAAAAAGGGGAGAAAGGCACGACTCTGCCTCTTGCTCTTCTTCCTCTTGCTCCTTTGACCTTGTACCTGGGCACACGCTGCTCTGCTGCTCCCTGTGCTACACGTGGCCGTGGCCATCTTGGAGACCTGGGCCTGATCTACAGACTCTTCCCTGCCTCCATCCACGTCCAAGGATTGTGCCTCCAGCTTCAAGCCACCTCAATCCAGCGAGATCCAGCACCGGGGAGCCTCAGCATAGCATTTGGGTTTTGTATATTTGGAAGTTTAATCTTCCTTACCTTGTTGTTCCTACAACCCCCCTTCCCTGTTAAACCCCTACCCTTCTTCCCTTCTGTACCCTGTTAAACCCCTTCCCTTCTTCCTTTCTGATCCCTGTTAAATAATATATTTCATTTTGTTAATCTTCAATTTGGTGCAAGGTTTTCATTCCCCCTGCCTTCCTTATTTACCTCTCTACCTGGGAAACTGAGGGATAAGGGAGGTGGGACACAGTTCTGCCTTCTAACCAGGACAGAACAGTCACTCTGGTTATGGGATGTGGTGCTGACCCAGTCTAAGCACGGATGATTCCACGTGCCACTGGCCTCTAAGGGCTGGGTCACAACTCAAGGGTAACACAGAGTTTTAGCACCTCAGCCTATACTCACCTATTCCTCCCCACTCCTTGCCCAATCATTGTACACTCATTAACTAACCAGGGAAGACTCTACAGCAAACAAGTCATGGGTCTAGAGCATCCCATCATCTCCATGGCATGTGCCAGACACTGTGTGCCACCAGGCAGACTGCTGCACCAGCCCCTTTCCTCTGGCTGGGTAGCAACTGCATGGTTTGGGGTGAATAAGATGGCACTGAATAAAGCAGGGGCATTTTAGAGGAGGAAAGTTGCCCTTGGAGCTCTATGGGTTGACAGGGCTGATAGCTCCGTGCTTCATTTCCTAGTCTGCAAAATGGGGCAGCAGAACTCACTGACTTCTCCAAGGTGCTGTGCAGATAGTGGTTTGTACAGTAAAGCAATAAAGTGGCAAGGGAAAGCCTGCCAAGAAATGGGAAAATAGTAAAATGTTCAGCCCAATGTTAGCTATACCTGGCAAAAGAGGCAGAGGGTTACACAATGACTATTATGGAGAAGAATAGCAAAGAAGCTCCTTTGTTCTGTGAGTATTTTTGCCTTGTACCTCATCTGGATCATAGAAGATTAACGGCAGGTGATTATGTAAAGTCTGTACTACAAGGCAGAGGCAAATGTGAGCTGGGGCCTCCCCGTTATCATTACCTGACCTTGCACATTCCCTTATGCAACCTCAGCATTTTTATTTTTTTGTGGATAGGATTTCTGGGTGGTTATTTTAAGAAAACTGTGCTAAATTTCTTGCTTCTGTGCCAGGTACCTGCTGTTTAACAAGCAGGCCATGACTAAGCATAGACTGGAAATCAGAAGCATCTACGAGTTAAAGCAATGAGATTCTGGGACTGTCTCCCCTTTGGAACACGTTTAATAGTGGTTCTTGATTATGAAAAGGATAAATCTGATGTGATTGATGCAACAGGAGATTGGATTTGATGATCCAGGGAAACCCTTCCAGCCCTCTCTACTCCTAATGAACTTATTTTTTAAGTGTGAGGGGCACGGTGAGGGGGGTGCAGTGCTACACTGGTGACAAACAACAGCAAAGCCTGGAGATACCTGCTGATGCTTAGTTGCTCTCCATCCCCAGGTCTCTCTCCTGGTTCTACCCATCCTGAATGTATCAAGCAGAAGTGGGGGCAAGGATCCTATCTGCTTTTCTCTTTTCATTTTACAACTACTGAGGACTTCCAAAATTCACTCTCCTTCAGCCACTACTACAGATGTCTCAGCTCACAGGTCCCCTCTATTTCTAAAGTATTTACCCATCTCCCGACACCATAATGACTGTGATCCTTGCAATCCCCTTAGTGAAGATGAGCAGGGATCACCTTTTAACAATGGGAAACTGAGCCAAAGAAGGACTAACTGAACTTCCTATGATGGCAGAGGACATTGGTCACATGGAAGAGATCTGCAGCCCAGTTCAAGGCTGGGATCTACTGATGGACTCTTCTCCATGCACCAAACTGGGCTCTCCCCTTAGGAATAGCCAAGCAGAAAGTATTTTCCAGCCCAAATATTCACAGGTCTAATCCCCATCCTCTCTCAACTCAAGGGGGCTGAGCTTGAGGTTTCTGAGGGACAGTGCAAGGTTGTTTCAGAACGGATGCACAGGGAAGGTGGTTATGTTCCTTTTACCCCCTGAGTCATTTTAATTCTTTAATTCCTACTTGCTAATAAGATAAAATGCTGTGATTTCTGCAGGATCAAATGGTACAGGGTAAGCTGAAGGAGTTTATTAATTAGCATGCTTTCAGGGCTGTGAAAAAAAATAAAAATCAACAGTGTTGTAGATGGTAGCTATAAATATGACCCAAGCATTGCTTGCCATGACATTTTAGCCAAGGGGAGGCTGTCGTGTTAGTGCTGGGCATGGCACCCTGATAGCAGATAAAAACCATAAATGGCAGGGCAAGGCTTTCTCTCTCCAAAACGTGGCTATTCACAGACACGTGCTACATTTCTTCAGGGCCTGATCCTGCAGCTGATACCAACTTCTGTGTGTGAGTGCTCCTCTGGCTTCCCCAGGGATTGCCTGGAGCAGCGAGTGCTAAGCCCAGTGATAGGAGGCTGCAGGACCAGACTCAGTGTGTGCCAAGCATTCTGGATGAAAACAGCTATAAAGAAGTCACATATTATTATGTCACATTGCAAAGGTCAACCCCAGTATTTGTTCTGTCATAAGGACATGACTGAAAGGCAAAAAAATAGTGTCAGGGCACAGGGGAAAATAATTTTTTAAAAGCTGCCTTTAGGGCTGAGGATACAAAATTACATCAGTGCTTAGAACTAAATTCCCATCCACACCCCCCCAATTCAATTTTGTCTCGGAAAGGCGTGAACGCAACAAAATCACCTTTTGGTGGCACGTCTTCTATCCACTGACACATCCCCTGGCAAAGCAGTGATAGCTAAACTCACACTCCCGTGTGACTCTGGCAGCAGTCAGGAACTGCTCTGTCACAGGTCCTGGGAGAGCTCTGCAAGATCTACTCAGCTGCTTAACACCACGTAGGCATTTGTTTAATCCTGGCCAGGACCAGGGCAGGAGGAGTGGTGGTGACACTGGGAAGAGGCTGGGTGGTGGGACAGTTAGTCCTTCATCACCCAGCCTGGTGCATACACCTAATATGATAAAATGCTGTGCTAATATGATAAAATAGCAATGTCACAGGGAGGTTTGGGTAATTGGACCCCAGTAATTTGTCCCAGTCATGACCAGCTTGTAAATATTTATGCCCATCTCTCTGGGCTTGCTGTCACAGGGAAGCTATTGAGAAATAAAGTGTGGAAGCCATCACTTTCCTGCCTTAACTTATGAGGGTTCATAACTGCTCTGCACAGGCAGTGTCTTTGGCTGCATTAGCTTGATCCACTTCCAAAACAGACTCAACCAAAGGCTCCTCAACTTTCTGGATCAACATAGCAAATCCTTGTATGCCAGCAGCAAAACCACACAGCACAATCAAGTTCAATGTTTGCCTCTCTCACAGGCTCCTGCAGCTGACCTCCAGCAGCCTTGCAGCTTGCTGGTAGTGGCTTCTGGGATGCTGTGACAGCTGGGGACCCACCAGGCTGAGCATCACCACACAGAGGCTCCAGCATGCAGCAAGCACGAGATAACATCTCACCTCTGTGAGAGGGAGGGCAGAGTGACCAGAGGTGTTACCAACTCTCAGCTGCCTCAGCACGGCTCCTGCCAGCCAGCACCTTGGCAAACCCAAACTCCTTTGTGCTGTCAGAGCATCGAACTTGCACCAGTCCCTCACCATTGCTCCTCGGGGCAAGGGGTGGGAGCAGCAATGGGGCAGTGATGGTCGACATCCACTCAATCACTCAACGGCTCAGACACTGAGGCTGTGTCTAGACTAGCTGACAAAAGGCCTCAGGGCTGGCACATGACAGTCCAACCGTTTGGATGATCTGGTTTTAGTCTATGCCAGTTTGACGGTGTCCAAACCACCGTTGAGAGGACAACACGACCCCACGCAGTGCACGTGCCACCCTGCCTGGGGACACGGAGCAGCTCAGCTGCATGGAGACAAACCTTGCTGCCCTCAGAGCCAGAGGATGCCCCACCCTGCCCACTAGTGCAGACACAGCCTGAACAGAGGCAGAGGATGGCCCTGATGACTTCTGCATTCATCCCGTATGACCTCGCAGACCAGCCCCAGAGCGCTGCTGTAGCAGAACCATGTGCAGCTCCCACCGCACACAAGACGGGAGCCCCTCTGCTGCCAAACTCACAAGACCCGACCTAGTCCCAAAAACCACTCAACCCCACGTGTCGTTTCATGCTCGGGTGGCACCAGTCCCCAGCTGCCCCAGGGGTGGAGATGCACTCACTGTTGCAGCAGCCGGCGGTGCCAGTCTCTGTCGCTGCCACGCTGCGCCGAACTGGCCCTTCGGACGCGGCCCTTCCTGACAGTGCACGGGTGAAAACAAGGGAAGGAGACAAACAAAAGAGAAGGGAAGGGTGAGAGAGGGAGGGAGGGATGGGGGGATGAAGCAAGAGGAAAAGAAGGGAAAGGGTGTGTCTTTAACCGAACCCTACGTCTTTCACTGGCGGCAGCATCCCAGCACTGCACAACTCTTGCTGCGAGGGGAAGGGCAGGTGAGACCCTCTGGCCCTGGTCACCAATATCTTGCCCTGCACCAGCACAGAGGGAGGGTGAGCTGGGTAAGAGTCAAGGAGGCTTGACCTCCTGAAACTTCTCCTTGGATTGTGAAACCACAAACCCTTGGGGGACCCAGAGTCCCTCTCCAGAAAGAAGTTTTAGGAGGCTTGAGCAGTTCCTTTGTATAGGGTACCCTTGCCCATCACCAGTTTCCTGAGCATGGTGCAGGGACCCATCTGCCTCTGCCAGCAGAACAAGACCCAGGAATGATGTCTACTCAAGCAAGCTCAGGTTAGCCAGACTTAAGGACAATATTGGCCAAATATCCAGTGAAGCAGCTGGTACATCATTCTCTGCTTTCCCCAAAAGTCCTTGTCCCGTCAGTACTGTCGCAGGTTAGAGCAGGAAGAAAAAAACTCATCCCACAACTTCCAATCACTTGCAAACCTGCCAGTGCTTGCAAAACTTAACCTTAGGAGGGGCCAAGGGAAAAAAAAATGATGGAGCAGAAAATACAGCACTACATTTTCCCATGTATTTAAGTAGGAAAGGTTTGGGAAATGGGAGGGAGAAGGGAGAGGGATCACAGTGTGCAAATTCAGAGTGAATGACAAGCATAAGGTCCACTTACTTTCCAGTAAGGTGTTTGTGTGCCCACTGGGACAAAAAGGAGACTAAATCCCAAGATTAAAGGGCAATTCCTGATCATGGTGCTTTGTGGGGAGAGTTTGGGCTGTGGTACTCAGAAGCTCAAGCTGACAGCTGCCCAGGGAACACCAAAATACAGCTTCAGGGTGTGTCCAGCTGGTCACCACCCTGGGCTCCTTCCCATCCAGCACCAGAGGTGAAAACTGAGCTGCTAAATGTAGCTGACAGCTCATTCTGCTTGGGGAATTGCCCCGTAAATGACTGACTCACCTCCCTTCCCAAAAAGCTGAGGTAGGAAACGGGTGGGGGAAAGGCTTAGAAAATTGTTTCATGATGGTTGTTTAAATTGCCTCTGCGTTACAATGTTACAGTTAGGGAAAAAGAAAAGGGAGCCCTGCCCCATAAAGCCACATCCTAAAGCCATCTGTGGCAGAGGTATGGACACTGGAAAGAAGGAGAGCAAATGAAGTCATCCAACAGTGGAATAAAACCATCAAAATAATAGAGTGCAGAACAAAGCAAATCAAACACAGAGCTGAAAGAGAAACATCTTCCCCTGTCAGATCTATTACTATGCATTTATTCCAATAACAAATAACTAACCCAGAGAGTAACCCAAACCTGATTTATTCCTCCATCTAAGTAAATATGAAGAGGCAGCTGAATCCTGACTGTAAAAACCACTGATCTCATATGTTTTCCTTGTATGTATTGGAAAATATAGGAGTGGAGTTTCTGCCTGGCTGCCAGGGGATGCTGGCAAAGCATCTGAGCTATAGATATTGTATCTTGTCACTAATGACTGCAGGGAACTAAAAGGGATTTGGATTTTTTTAATGCTTCACATTAATTGATAATTTAGTCTCAGAATCCACAGTGGAACACAGGATTTGCTATATTGGATCAGTCTAGTGGCCCATAAAATCTGGCGTCTTGCCTCAGTGGTGCTCAGAAAAATTATCATCCAGCATCTTTGCTTATAAGGTTGCTGGCCATTTCTGTAAGACCATACGACTGAAAGAGACAAAAGGTCTTTCTGGCAACCTCTTTAAACCCTGAAACGTGGTATTGGTGGGGCTATTTTACATCTTTTTTTTGGAGTTGGGTTGGTTTTGTTTTTGTTTTTTTTTATATGCAAGAAAGAAACTCTACGACTACAAACCTTTTCAACAGACATGCTGCTGCTTTTTCTCTTGGTCACCGTAGCCCAAATAATGAGAAGGTGAACTTGTGTTTTCAGAGGGCAACTGAGACCACAACTGAGGCCAGAGCAGGGGAGATGCCTTGTACTGAGCAGAACAATATCGATTAGGCAGCGTAAAGATTTCTCTCACTAATTTCTTTAGCAACCTTATCCTGTGTTGCCACGTAATGAGATGGGGAAGAGAGAGGTAGAATCACTTAAGCGTTCCAAGCTCGAGACACGTTGAGAAAAGATTCCTATTTTTGTGTGTGTGTGTGCAATTTTGTGCACCGTTGCTCCTTGATTGTACATTGAACATTCTCTCTTTGACATCCTAGCCCTAAACAGCCCGTGTATGAAAGAGCTGCTTGCAAACAGGGGCTTTCTCCATCCAGGTGGTGTGGAGAAGGAGCTCACCGTGGCTGAGAGAAGGGCAGGGCTATGAAAAAGGGTGATCAGGAGGGCAAAGCCTGTGGAAACTGACCATCAGGAGGGAAAAAAAAAAGGCAAGGGTTTCTTTCCATGCAAACATCTTATTGAAGGATGATGATGAAGATATTTGCATTTTAATTTTTCTAGAGAGGTCTTCAGTTTGTCTTAAAGCAAGGCATAATTTATCTGTGCTCCCACTGAACTGACTTATCGCTCCTCTGCTCCCGGTTTTGCTGAGTATACTGAGGTTTGGAGGTGCTCCACACCTTTCCTGACTGTAATGGTTTGATACCTGCTGCCCCTGGTGGGTGGAGATCTGAAACCCTAAACCAGGTACAGGCCTGAATGAAAGGGGTGTACACCTGTCCTATTCCCACTCCCCTTTTTCCTGTCTTTGGGATTTCCTGCCAAGGTCTATAAAAAGGGGAGAAATGCCTCTCTCTCTTCTTCCTCTTTCTCTGGCTCCTCTGACCTTCTACCTGGGCACACGCTGCTCTGCTGCTCCCTGTGCTACACGTGGCCGTGGCCATCTTGGAGACCTGGGCCTGATCTGCAGACTCTTCCCTGCCTCCATCCACGTCCAAGGATTGTGCATCCAGCTTCAATCCACCTCAGTCCAGCGAGATCCAGCACTGGGGAGCCTCAGCACAGCATTTGGGTTTTGTATATTTGGAAGTTTAATCTTCCTTACCTTGTTGTTCGTACAACCCCCCTTCCCTGTTAAACCCCTACCCTTCTTCCCTTCTGTCCCCTGTTACACCCCTTCCCTTCTTCCTTTCTGATCCCTGTTAAATAATATATTTCATTTTGTTAACTTTCAATTTGGTGCAAGGTTTTCATTCCCCCTGCCTTCCTTATTTACCTCTCTACCTGGGAAACTGAGGGATAAGGGAGGTGGGACACAATTCTGCCTTCTAACCAGGACAGAACACTGACTGACATGTGATCTCAGGGCTGTTCTGATGGTGCAGGTGAGAAGATGGGAGACCACTGGCCAGCTGGGACACAGTGGGGAAACTGGGCCAAAAATTTGAGGTGAGAGGGAAGAGTTTTACACATCCAGTTCTCCCTCGCTTGTGAGTGGCAGTGCTCTTCCCAAAGTGTGAGCAGTTCATTACCATATGCTCAGGATCACTAGAATAATGACACTCCCTGCCATATGGGTCTCTACCTTCTGCTGCTCTAAGTTTAAATCAGGCCACCTTGGTAAAACTGAGGAGCCATCACCTTTGCTGGCTTACCCTGTACCAAAGTTTTCCTGTGACACCACAGAGGAACATGTTTCAGATCGTTCTCCACCATGAGAGAGAGTCTCTCTGGATTAAAACTAGGCACTGTGCTCTTCTTGATGTATCTCACAGCTTTCAGGCTAATGGGATGTTCAGAGTGGGGAGAACAGGAGGAAGGGAGCACATTGCATACAGTCAGCCTCTAGCACATGGTTGGCAACTACATTTGGACAATACAAATTGGAACAAGGGGAAAAAAATAGTTTCACAGCCAAGGAGTGGAAAAAATTGCTCAAGGATAGGTGATGACCACAAGCAGCTTCTCTTGCCTCTCTGGATTTGTTGGCTGCACCCGGGGAACACTGAAAATGGAAAAGAGTTCTGCCCTCTCTAGTTAAGTTTTATGGGAAAGGAATTGTTTTAATGGAAAATGGTCCTGAATTTTCCCAGCAGAAAACCTGCTGTCCCACGTTTTCACAGCAGAGGTGAACAGGTTTATGTAGATTGGCTAAACTGAGAAACAATCCCAGCTTTCTGAACTGAACTTAACCTCTGACTTCCTGGGGATGGTGTCACCACCCCTCACCTGGGTCCAGCATTTGACTGGTTACTCCCTGTACTATTCCCAGCTCCCAGAAAGATCAGCCTGGACAGCTTTTCAGAGCAGCCAAAGTCTGGTCAGCTGGGATCCTGACTTCAGTCAAAGATGCATAGGGGGGAGTATGGAAACAGAAAAGCCCACAGTATATGTCCCCACAATAACTTCCAATCCTCAGTAATCCAATCCACAGAGATTTCCTGAAACTTGAGAAGTATTTTGTGTCTGAGAGCCCTAGATAGATTACTTTGCTTTTACAATTTTAATCACTTTTTCACCCTATGCCAGCTGTTGACACCTGCCATCTCTTGCAACAAGGAGTCCCACCACTTTACTACCCACTGTAACATCTCTGTTGGATCTGAGCCTGCCATGTAGGGCCACCAGAATGATCCAAGGGCTGGAGCAGCTCTCCTATGAGGACAGACTGAGAGAGTTGGGGCTGTTCAGTCTGGAGAAGAGAAGGCTCCGAGGTGACCTTATTGTGGCCTTCCAGTATCTTAAGGGTGCCTACAAGAAAGCTGGGGAGGGACTTTTTAGGATCTTAAGTAACAACAGAACTAGAGGGAATGGGGCAAAGCTGGAAGTGGGCAGATTCAGGCTGGACATGAGGAAGAAGTTCTTCACCATGAGAGTGGTGAGCCCCTGGAATGGGTTGCCCAGGGAGGGGGTTGAGGCCCCATCCCTGGGGGTCTTTAAGGCCAGGCTGGAGG